TGGGGATGGTCACATCAACATGCAGACAGGAAGCAGAGTGCTTAGGCCCAGTGCACTCAAGGCACTCCTCCAGTGACCCACTTCTTCCTGAAGGTTCTGCAGCCTCCTAAAACACCCTCAGTAGTTGGGAACCAAGGGTTCAAGCACATGAGCCTGTGGGGGACATTTCACACTCAAACATGACCCCAGTCCCCCTGGTCCTAGTCATCAACTTGACCCCAAGAAGAGGACCATTTGGGCCCGTACCTACAACTGTCAGTTCAGGTAAAACCCTACCACAGTCACAGCATTCCCTGTACAACAAACGTCACCATAACTCAGTGGTTTAAGCAATGGATGCTGGTTTAGTTCATGTGCCCCAGGTTAGCTAAATGGTTCTTTGCTTTAGCTGGTCATGGGTGGCCATCGTTGGGTCCCAGACACCTTGAGTGAATGGTTTTCTTCCACATTCCTGGTCTTTTGCAGGTGGCTGGAGGATGTTGCCCTGTGTCAAAGACCAAGATACTGAGTCTGGAAATAGGTTACCTCTCCTCGGACCTTGTGATGGCTAATCCTGGGTGTCAACTTGACTGGATTTAGGATTAACTGAAATGAGAGAGATCTTCTTGATCGGATCATCTGAAGCCGGAAGACACACGCTAAAAGTGGGCGTTATCTTCTGATGGCAGCCGGTATAAAAGGCCACGGCAGAGGAGAACGCATGGTTTCTTGCTGCTTGCCTTCTCTCTCGCTGGTGAATTCGTCTTGCTGCTGTAGACTGAAGACTAGCTGCTCTTTTGAAATTTGTCAGACCTTCAGCACCAGATTGGGACTACTGAGACATCCAGCCTCGTGGACTGAGCGAGTACGGATTCTCAGCCTCTCCAGTGTGGTGCAGCCATTGTTGGACTACTCAGACTCTATCCTGTGAGCTAGGCTGATAAATCTCTATACATGTCTATTCATTCTAATGGTTCTGTTTCTTTGGAGAACCCTGACTAACACAGACCTGGACCTACTGTCAGTGCCTTCTGAGTCTGCCTGCGTCTGGAATTGGAGGGAAGCATTGGGATCATCCTGACAGGCCCTTCTTCCCCTCCTGTGGGTGGGTGTGGCCTCCCTCTGAGAATGGCCTCCACAGCGCTCCTGCCTTGTGAGACCAGAACTTAAGGCCTGGCCCTCTGTGGGCCTGTCGTTTTGTTACCACACAGCGGTCAGCAACAGCAGACCCTGACAGTGACAGGCCTCGGGGAGGGGAATGGACCTGGGAAGATGGAAAAGGTGGGTGCTGCCTTCCATGGTAGAGGAAGGACATCTCAGCATGAGAGGCTGGTCTCCTGTGCCTGCTGGGGTGGTCTAGGATTGGTGGCTGCAGCTTGGATGAAATCCTATCCCAGTATCTCCTCAGACACATCCACCACCACCACTGTGCCTTGAGGTGGTCATGCTGGGGCTCACAGCACTGAAAGCTGTTGGAACTGCAGCCCTTGCTGGATCCCTCAGCCCAGGCCCTTGCATACCCTCAGGGTCCCCAGTATGGTGGGGGAACTCCCTGTGGACTCAACAGTTCTCATTTTAATTCTGGTTTTTCAGTAACTTCTCTACCACTGCCAAAGGGCAGGGTAAAACCTGAGATCCAGGCTCCTCTGAGGAACAGAAATGCACGCACATACACAGGCATGCAGACACATGTATATACACACAAACATGCATACATATATACTCACACATGCTCACACATGTGCACACATACATACACACAGGGTCAATGAATTGTCAGCAACATACCACTCTAATGTTTCTAATCACAGCATCCTGTTCTCAACCAGCACAGGTGGCTTTGTGCTGCCTGTTCCTGCTTTGTGGTTTGCCAGCCATATTAACTGCGAAGACTTCACAAGGCAACGACCGCTCAGAACGACAGAGCCCGCTAGGATGGCATAGCCTGAGCAGCGAGCAGCCTCAGAGCCTGTACCTGGGGGTGTCTGTGGGAATGTCAAGGCTACTCATCCACAGGCCAGGGTGAGCCATCAGAACTGGGTTTTCCCACATCGAGATAGCCTCCAGGAAGGTGGCTTTTGTGGGACCCTAGGCAGACCACCAGAGGCTTTCCATCAAGCCCTGGCACCTGTGAAGCTATTCAGCAAGCTGTCTGTCAGTGCTTGTGAACAATCAGATCTCATCATCTGACAACTGTTTATTGAGCCCACACTGGGACATCAGAGCGTAGACCAGATTCTCCAGCCTTCTCTAGGACTGACTGCATCTCTGACGGATTCAGAGCCCATGATCTAGCCCAACTTTTCCCCTTTTCTGAGAATGCATCGCCTCAGGCCAGGGGCCAGGGTTTCTCCACAGGGAAGGAGCTCAAGTGAAGAGGGAGCAAACCAAGTAGGCAGAGGACGACGACACAGCTCAAAGAATCATTGTTTCCTAAGGTTTTTCTTTTTACATGATTTATTTACTTTGTAGGGGATGTGCGGATGCCATGGCATGCATGTGGTGGTCAGAGGACAACCTGCAGGAGACAGTTCTCTCCTACAATGTGGGTCCTGAGGAGCAGGATCAAACTCAGGTCCTCAGGCTTGGCAGCAATCTCCTTTGCCTGCTGAGTTATCTCACCAATCCACCTTTCCTTTTCTGTGGCTTGTCAGTACCATATAGCGTATGAAACACTTGCCGGACACATGTATAAAGCAAGCATTCTGCAGGGCTGTGTTTCTGATCACTGTGGCTGGCTGTGTGCCCAAGTTTCTGGGAGTTAATCTGCTGTGGTTGGACACTCTGAAATGCACAAACTGTCACCTGGGTGAATTAAACAAGGAGATGCTGAGCCTGGCACAGACTTTGCATTCTGTAATGTGGCCCAGCTCTTTGCATCTTGGTGTACAAAGCTCATTGTAACAACCAGAAGTCTGGTCTCTTTTGCCCATGGGCTACCAAGGATGTCACTGAGGACAAGTGGGAGCTTCAAAAGATCAGCTGTCCGCAGAACTGGAGCTGCTGAGGCCTGGCAGAGTGTTGGTCCATTGGGGAGTCCTTCCACCAGCCACAGCCCACAGACATCCAGCATGGGCTCTGGGCTCAGCAGCAACTGGGAGCTTGTTGGAAATGCTGATTTTCAAGCTACCCACATGTTGACTCTATGAAGCCCTGTAAATTCCAAGGCCCATGGCCCAATATCAGCCTTCGCTATGGGACCCAGAGAGAGAAGTGTGCCTGGCATCACTGAATTCGTTTTGTTTTCTGAGGACACAGGGTTCTTTTCTGCCCCATCAGTTTCCTGCAGGCTTGAGATTTCCCAGTACAATTCCTTCCTCCCACGACTTTCCCAAATCACATTAGAGGCAGTCATTCAAGCCTGGCTCAGATCACAAAGCAGCTGGTGGGAGCCACTGGGGAGACGCTGCACACCACAAGTGCCAGGGCAAGCCTATACATGGCACATGGCCCCCTCCTCCTCGAACTTGTAAGAGAGTGAACAAGCTTGTTAACATTTCAAAGGTCCACAAAGCTTTTCTCACCCCAGGATGTGGCGACTTCACTGGGAGTGAGGTGTTTGCCCAGCTGTATGGTGAGAAAAGCACTTATGCTGGAAGGCTGCAATTTGGCCCTCAGGGTCTGGGTAGGCTAGAGAGGAATGTATGCGCTCACTGGGCTCTGGACTCTTGGCACTCTGCAGTTGGCCTCTGAGCCTCCCAGAGCCATGGGAGTGGTGCTGAGGTTTGGGACACTTTGTTGAAGACGACCCCAAGAAGCTCACCTGCATTTGGGCTTATGGAGAAGGACCTGGAAGGAGGAGCCAGATGTGGGATGCCTGCGCCTAAACTACTAGGATGCTATAGGCGATCCTTACTGTATGCACCTGGGTGGAGACTCCCTGCAGTTTCCTACTTGGGGAGTGGTAACTCTGACTAGGTGTCTATGATCGGGGCCTGGTTGTCTCCAAAGAGGTCCTGACGGCACCATTCAGGGACATGATGGTCATGAGAGGTACCTGGTCCACCCTGGCCACTGTGGTCCTGTGGAATATGTCCTCCCACTGGAGACTCTAATGGAGGCCCACCAGGTCTCAGCTGAGCAATGCTCAGGTTACTCTGATAAACCCAGGCTCAGTTATGACTGTAAATGTGAAATGCCTGGACCAAGGTCTCCTGGGCCAGCCTCCCTCACCAGGCCCAGGAAGCACAGAGCACACAAAGAAAGCCACACAGCAATGACACAGAACCCTGGGGACACTGACCTGTCAATCCGAGTGTTCACTTGTGTGTGCACTGTATGGGTCACCTGTATGATATCTTCCTGGTCGACTGACTGGATTTAAAAACTCAATCACCTAAGTGACACATCTCTGAGCATGTCTGTGGGGTGTTATCAGAGAGAACTAACTGAGGAGGGAAGACCCACTCTCAGCCTGGGCAACACCATGCAATGGCCTGAGGGCTGGACTGAATTAAATGGAGAAAAGGAGAAAGCAGGCTGAGCACCACCATCCGCCTCACTCTGCTTCCTGAGTGGGGAAGCAATGTGAGCCTCACACTCCTGCCCTGCAGCTGGGGCCGCCTCTTCCCACCACACCTTCGCTGCCAGGACAGGCCAAGAAATCCCTTCCCTCCTTAAATCGCTCAGACGCTAGTCCATCGGGTCTCCAGTGTGGTCCCCTTTGGTCTGTGTGGCCCCCTGAGTGTTCTTCTCCTGTGTGGTCTTCTCCTGTGTGGTCCTCTCCTGTGTGGTCCTCTCCTGTGTGGTCCTCTCCTGTGTGTTCTTCCCCTGTGTGTTCTTCCCCTGTGTGATCTTCTCCTGTGTGGTCCCCCCGTGTGGTCCCCCCGTGTGGTCTTCTCCTGTGTGGTCTTCTCCTGTGTGGTCTTCTCCTGTGTGGTCCCCTCCTGTGTGGTCCCCTCCTGTGTGGTCC